TAATATAATATAATATAATATATTAAATATAATATAATATAGTATAATGGGAGGTCAGCTGCTTTCGGGGCCTTCAGGATCTCGGGTTTAGAAGTTCAGGGGTTCGGGATGCCACACCGCGCCATGGGGTGTTCTGCATCAGTGCTAGGGCTTGCTGCGGACATGAGGGGTCCGAGAACCTGATTGCAGAGTTATGCTAGCCGTTGGCCTGGGGAGCAGGTGCTTTGGGTTTAGCCCCGACTTTGGGTTTCCGGTCTAGCCCTTCGCAACATCCCATCCCTGTCCTACGAAGACGTTCACGCCGCGAGAGTCTGGGTAGAAGATCTCCAACAGTACAGACTGGGCGGCGACGGTTTTACTGGCTTCAGACTGAACTCACGCGTAAAGACTTGTCTGGTGTTTGACATACTTGGCACCTGCCACTACTGCCAAACATAGTATTAACTTCAAAACATGTTGTCTTTCAGATGTTTGCCTTTTTCGCCATCTACTGTACACCAGAGACCCAAACACGGCGGCACGGGCTCCAAGGCCCTCGCAGCCTCCGGCCTGGGATTCCAATACCGGAGCCTCAGCTTCGACTCAGCTGCGTCTTTAAGCATGAGAGCTGCAGTAATTAAGCCGCGACCAGGCAAGATACAGTGCCGTTCTCTTGACAGCTGAGAGGGATGTCTGGGTGTAATTAGAGGGTAAGGAAATCGAAATCTGAGCAATCTCGTTCGCAACCGAGCAAGCTGACTCCACACATCGAAGACTCTCATCATTTTTAGAGTCTTGCGACATATATGGTGGTTTCAATTGGCTTCTTTTCAGGCATGTTGGGGGTTCTCAGGCACTTGCAACGGCGTGGACTGATCGCGCAGGCATAGAATGGCATAGCTGCATTGCATACATACAGCACGTGGCGGCGATGGCGACGGCAACAGTGGTAGCAGTAGCGCAATACCATGGCAGCAGTATTGCTACAACACTGCCACTGCCATATCTACGACATGCGAGTACCCGTAACAGCCCTCAAAGGGTGGTGATCGTCGCTCCTGTGGCCTCGCCAAATTCTATCCTATCCCTCCAGGCCAGTCCCGTGGTAGGGCGGATATCATCACGGCCAACGGATGAGGGTTTGTGACCCTCAACCACTAAACCCTGAAACCCTCCCTCTACTTAAGGGGCCTTGACACATCCTTGCGACCCGTTCTCTCAAAGCTCGGGCTCACGCTTGAAGTTCTCTGGCAGAGACATGACTTCCATGTAGTAGGTCGAATCCTCGGTTCAATCCAGGGTCAAGTTCTCTGGGCTCCGTACTGGTGGGATGACTAGTCGCGGTGTTGCTACTAGTGGCATTTCTGTATTGTTATGTATATATTATAACTATGCCTATTATACACACAATTACGTATATATTATAACTACTATACCTATACACACAACATCTATACCTGCATATGACGCATACTTTAACTGGGATTCAGGGCGTCAGGCATCTATAGCCCACTAGATGCGAGTGATTCGATTTGTTTGGATCGGCCCGAAATTAGATCTTCTGCTGTACTATTGCTCGACACGATTCCTGAAACACAGAACAATGTATCTAGGATGCCTGGTTGCAGCTACATCTTCTACACCAGAAGACAAGAAAATGCCTGAAAGAATCCTGGGCGGTGCCCATGCAAATTGTATGGGCATGATGCTCAGGCCATGCTGATGATCTGATGACGATGATGCTGGTACGAACGATCTGCCCCATACCGAGAACCGAACGGGCTGTAAATGAAGGGAATGGGATCAAGAATCATTGCTGCCCTCACCTGATCAAACCCCTTCAGAACTGGCTTGCGACGACCTCAAAGACCACCCTAAAATGAACAACCCCAGCACTGGGGGCAGAAACTGGCTTGATCAAGATGTGGTAGAAGGAGAAATCCCAACTTCAAAAAGATGCACAAACACTTCAGACAGGTAAAGGGCTTCGAGCTGAAGCCGTTGATGAAGAACACGTTGTTATTGTTGCCGTCTTTTGTAGCTACCGCTCCTTCAAAACATGTTTCCGGTGGCTGCCGTCGTCGTAACGAATGTACATGTTTGCAATCCGGGTGCTGAAGCCGCCTCCTCCGTCTCCTCGTCCTCCGACCACTACTCCTCCTGATCCTGCTCTGTATCTGCCCCAGCTCCTCCTCCTGCTACCATGCCACTAATGCCACCTCAACGACTGCTTAGTACGACGACGACGACAACGACTAGTGCCGATGCTCATGCCGGGGCTAGTGCTACATAGTGGCTGCTAGTGCCACGGCTAGTGCTACTACTGCTGCGGCTGCCGCTACCTTGGCCAGCCCTAGTGTTGCCGTGACTCCTGTTGTTTGTACTGCAACAATGCTGATTGCGCCTGAGCTTATTGTGCAAGTGCCACAGCCTACGATGCAGTCGGAACTCGGAACCTTCTTGCGGGGGGAAGCCCGAACCTCGAAAGCTCCAAAGTCTGAACTCATCCGGCCACAACAGCACGCTGCTTCGTCCCTCGAGGCGCCACGCCACAGGGGCAGGAGGCATAGAAAGGGCCGACGCCTGGACTGGGTTTAGGATTAGGCCGCTGTCAACTCCCAATCAGCTTTCAGTGTCCATAGATGAAGCACGGGAGCAAAGTTGTTCCAACAACGGACCGGCCGCGGCTCAAGCGCTCACGTGCATTATCAGTTTCTCATGCCGAGGGAAGGGTCGACGTGTGACGGCGAGCGGGTTTGTGGCTTTAGGGATCCGGGCTTTCAGTTGTATACTAGGGTTTAGGGGTTTAGGGTTTAGGTTACAACATTGTAATTGTAAGGCCTTGGAGGTGCATTTGGGCTTGGCAGATCTAAGGTTCCGCTGGCTTGGAGCTCCAATCAGCTTTTCAGGTGATTCTGCGCCTTGCTGTTGCTTGTCGGATAACATTCACTAAACCTTCAACCAACAGCTGTGAGAAGTATCACAAGAAGGGCATAGCAGTAGCCAGAGACACAACGATGATCGGCATCCTTGCCAGACGACATGATCTGCACAGCAGACCCTCACCAAGGCTCCGCGGGCGACGTTGTCTGCAGAATCCGTGTTGCTGCCGGCTTTTAGCAACAAGCGGAATGAAGCGGACGATCTCGCAGTGATGCGCAGCAGCAGCCACCGTGAAAGCTGTGTAGCCGCCCGGCATGCAACCAAGACGCAGTCAGACCCTCAGGCCTACAGACCGACCCAGAAATCGTCGACACAACAAAACGACCGTCTTAAGAGTTCGGAGATGTTTGGAGTCTCGGAACCTCAGGCCCCTCAACACTCAGACCCCAAACCCATTTAAACCTCTACACTCCTCTTGCGCCAACCTTACAAAGCCCTCTTGAATGCTGTTCAGAACCACGCCCCTCTTCGACGCCTCTTTCGAAACGCACCTTCACACAAGCCTGACCCAGACCCTCAAAAACTTCTTTGTTAAGGAAGTCGGTTTGTGGCGGCCCCCAGGCTCCGTGCGATGATTGACAGCCTTGTACGTCGTAGTAGTAGTAGTAGTAGTAGTAGTAGTAGTAGTGGTAGTAGTCGTAGTAGTAGTAGTTAGTAGTTAGTAG